ACGTCACAAATTACAAATGTGATACCCCAACAATATTAGTCGAAAATACAAAATCTGATGAGTCAAATAGTTAAAACGTTTTCACGTTTGGTTATAAAACAAATTGTTGGGACACGGTGATACAGAGATCCCCTCAGTTTGTCTGCATAACTCATTGTTCAAAGCGAATAGGACAATGAGGTTAAGAGTAAGAATGTCTGTTTCAAAAGAGTATTTAGAGACCCAGTACTCATGCTATATGAACGAGAATAATCACAACCAAACATCAATCTCAGAGAACGCAGTTCTACCAAAATACAAAAACGGATCAGTGACTTAGTTCCTTCCATTGATAGAAAATTAAGTGGCGAGACTCTAATTTACGGACGAACTTCAAACGATTACTAAGTGACCTTCAGAAATATTAGCTATTCAACAAACAGTCAGCAAAGAGTAAAAATATATATAAAACCAAAGAAATAAAGTGGATACACTTATTGCACATGCTTAAAAAACTATTCAATGTTAGAAATCAGTTCAGAGGTTCCATGACCGTAATGCACTTAGTAGAGGAAATCATCCATATGGCTACAGAATATTCGGACTCTAGAGCATTTATAAGGTCGCAAAAGTTTCAGCCTCGACCACATAGCTTCAATATTGTTTATGTGCACTCCGGGTTTTGAGTACACAAAATGCCACTTGTGAATAATGTCACGATGCACATAACCAAATCTATGTAGGAGTCTGTACGCTCTCCACTCATCCGTATATATTGTATCACCTGGCTGCAACCAGTGTTGCTGTTGCTTTTACTATCCAGTCCGCAATGATTGTCGTAATTTGACTTAGTGAAGAATTATATATGGGGTTTTCATCACGAACTTATATCAGCTATAATACCAAAACTTTATTTAGCCAAATCGACGAAAGGCTTTCGCGTAAATATCCGAAATCTGTTATCGTATACCCGATTGATTCGTCCACACATTATAGTCTCGCCGCTTTATTTGTTATATCCGCTCAATTATCACGTTTTGTACAAAATTCCTAATGAACCGAACGTACGTTAGCACTAAGCACTGAAGTTGGCGCGGTAACCTTGAAATTTCTAAAACGCCTCTGATTGGCCCATCCATAAATTAGAGTTTCGACAATAAAGTGAAATCGGACATTAAGAGGGACCACGAGTTTTCAAAAATGACATGCACTTTGTCCCACCTTATCGTGATTGAAATGATAAATGACTAATGTGATAAATGTTGTGAAAGTATTTTCTTTTGAACAGACGTTGTATAATAATCCAACGCATTTTCCCGCATTGCTCATTACTATCGATTGGTATCAAGTAACTAGTTCATTTCCAATAACAAGTGAGCATGACTATACTCAATTAACTGCGGTCATTGTGGGATTCTCATTTATTAATCTTCCTTCAATAATTAAATCCAACACCTTCGTCAATGTGTACGAATGCTTAATCTGCAGACCATTTGTCAAGTTCACAATAAATTCACACCAGGCTGATGCGGCCATCAGATACTCGCAAGTTTTGAATGAGTGTCTAACGTAAATCGTTTCGTCCACCCAATAAAATATGTTCTAATTGATAAGACACATATCTCTTCAATAAGTTGTGTGGTCAAGTCGTCAAAGCGAGTACATCAACAGATGATTAATTGTATATCAAATCGGATGTTAACATTATTCGAGAAAATCCGACTTACGTCCAAACATTACTAATTCACAACCATTTCTGTTGCTTAAAAGATTTGATAATAGTAAATATATCATACTCAACAACATTCCTGACACGATATAGAATCAACCAAATGGAATATTTCCATTTCAGGCTTGCAGTTACACTTCTTTGTCAAAAACAGAACGTCTTCATCATGCTCATTACCGAAACTATTTCCATTGTCTCAATCCAAATAGTGTGGTAAAAGAAGGTTGAGTTATTCAGCGTGATACAATACTGAACCTGGAATGTAATCAAGATGTCGGATTTCATTTTACATTATTTCATGTAATTTTTAACCGAACTCATTGAACAGCGTTTTACCACAGTGCGCTTTAAAACTAGCGTATATATGTATGATAACTGATAATATTCACGTTATAGCTGAACTACAGTGAATGATTTCTACTAGGTAATTAGTATTAAAAGATACTTGTGTTATGTCTTACAACTGACCAACAGAAGTAGATGACATTGAGCGAATAACACGCGACCACAACTATCGAGAATGACAATCTATGCTTGAAAATAAGCTCGATTCTAACTGTCCCTAAACGAAAAGGAAGAATACATGATCAATGATAACCAGTACAAGATCGTTATCACATCTCAAATATTCATTTATCTACATATATGAGCAGACTATTCAGCAGACGTTTTAAGTACCAGTATTACGAAGCAATAACAACAACAGCAAGCCTAATCATGGGAACAATGATGTGGTGTGAATATAAGCAATCGATGCTAGTTTATAATTGAAAAACGCCATAGAAACAATTTATGATTCAAACAAAAGCTTCGAATCAGGATAATACGAAAACAATCAAACCAAAATAATCGAGAAACGTTCAATCAGCAAATATAAATAAAGACGTCGGAAAATAGTGTCGAAACCTGCTGCCTCTTAGTTAAATTGTCTGTTAGAAAAACGTGATATTTGATCAATGAGTGAGCTGGTTTACTTGATTTCAGTCTGAAAGTAAATATTTCCTTAACATCTACAAAACTAGTACAAAGTGATGTGTATAACCGTTGTTCAGTTTCAAGTACAGCTAATCACCAGTATACTGTGGTTTATTGTTGAGAGTACTATTTTATCGTTCGTCATTATTCATACGAATAATCTTACAAATAATGAATAAGTCCCAATTATTTAGTGTTTATGAAGTCATTACATTCTACATTCAATTGTTTCTTCTGGTGTAAAGTTATGATTGAATGAATGGATATAACATTACATCTGCACTGTTTGTTCGTTCATTTGTGAAAGATTAGTTTTAAGCACTAGCGAGAAGGAACCATCTACATTTCCGGAAAATCCAACTTCGATTGATTTCAATGAAATGTGTGAAATTTGCGATTGAAATTATGCCTTGAATTGAAGCTATTGATTTATTTATTTAAACACATAAACATTAGTAGAAGGAGGTACCAGAAAGATATATCATCCGGATGCTTAAACTGAGGCAGGTGATTTCCTTACAGGACCACAAAAGGAGCCTTCGACCCAAATTTCTGATCTACGTCGAAGTGGAGCAACGTCAAGAGATACAGTCCCATGACAGCCAGTTACCAACGATTGACTCATACTGAATCCCATATGCACCATTGGCTTGGAATCAGTGTTTTTCAACTTCCTTACGTGGACTCTCCGTGTCCACCAACCCGGTTAAAGTGCTACATATGTGCTTTTCGTCCTCACAATTTGGTAAAAAACAGTAATGCCTCGAGAAGGCAGTGAATAGGAATTCTCTGGTGGTGGTTGTATGCACGTGGCCATGTGAGAGCGTTTAGAGAGAGAGAGCTGACTCTCCCCACTCTTGCCCATACCAGGACATTTGGGAGCGAATAAGTAGCTAATCACCAATTCACAACGTGAAGTAGTATTGTATTTTGTTCTTTCGGACTTAAGATTATGTTGCAGCCTAGCTAGAACTCCATGTTCAAATAACGTCATATAATGGACCCATAGAAAGCCAGATATGATTAAGTATCCAGTGATTGGTAGTCTCGTTTCACAATAATATAGTTACATCATATGTGTTGAAGCTGATTGCGTCAACATTGTTTTCAGAAAAGTATTTTGCTGTGATGGTTCGCAACTACAATCACAATTGATGATGATTCAAAATCGATAGCTATTTTCACTACGTCGAACCGACTTCATACAACATATCAAAACAAAATCATCATCAAAATACGAAGCCGATCGTCCATTCAATTATCTGCATAGCATTTACAGAACTGTGACTACTTGTGTGTCCCGATAAAGGACAGGCAAGTATTGTGTAGTGAACGAGAATAAACAAGTGGGGACAACTGACTGTACTTCAATATAAATTTACAGGTTTCTTGATGAAATCTAACTCCAACTGTAGCTCTTCCAGAGTTACTGCCGGTGAATGAAAAGTGCTGGTAGGCGTAAGTTGAATAAATCTGAGAACTATACAGTAAATATTTCATTTGCAAAATATCGATCAATTGTTGCAAACTTTACTGTTCTTTCGTTTCCAGACCAATATTTCTCTGTTCTTGTTCTCTTTTCTTTGATCTTCACAACGTTCTGCCTTCAAGCATTTCACTTTCGATTGATAATACATACTACTTCCATCAGCTAACACCACAATTACTTTAGAGAAGTATATTAAACTGATTTTATTCATAACAAACACATTGTAGCCAACTGTGATATTTACAATGGTTGTTTGGTTTTATTTTGAATTTCCCAGATGAACCTACATACAGAACTGCCTTGATTGAAAAACTGGGACTCGAACCTATCACATCATACTCTGAATTCAACAGAACAAAAACTTATAATTACAGACTATGTAATGGTTATACAAATGGAGCTTAATTAAATCGACCTGAAACGTTTTTATTCAAAATAGACAGTTTTATCGTAAACAACACTTATCACTAAGCACAAATTATAAGTAAACACATTTGTGATTGTCTTAGTTTTTAAGTACCTGTAATGGCAAATTAACCTTTGAAATCAAGATTTCCATTTCCATTACTATTTCAGTTGTAATCTTATTGTGTATAAGAACTTTGATCAACATTCTGAAGTGATCTGTGATGATTTGTATGTTGAATCATAACTCTATTGAAGTGTTACATTTGGTTGTAGGCGAAATCAAAGTGGGTGAAATAATAAATGTGATATTATCATACCATTGTAACCCAAAGTCCAGTATTTCAGTTTAGTATATATAAAACAATGATTATATGATGATTGCTGTGTTCGAAGAAATATACTCACAAGAGTTCTTTAGTTATGCTTACGTCTGTGTTGTGTATCGCTTCATTGATAACCCTTCTCGATGCTCATATTTCAATAAAGAAAGAAAGATTTGAACCATTGTCAGATGACATCATCTCGTATATCAATCAACATGTAGGTTCTTTTTTGTAGTAATGTTGTAAATGGCGTGCATTGTAAAATGATTTACGTTCTAACTGTGTATGATCGGTTGGATTAGAATAGATCCACTACTTTATGATGTAAGTAGCTTGTGTACGAAACGAGATTTGATTGAGAATGTGCAATCAATCAGATGTTTCCTCCTCTTTGCAACTAGAATTCATCTATAAGTTATTTAAAATGACAGGTTACATTGTTTCGTACGCCATCGGCCTAAAACTGATTTCATTTCATATATCCAAGTTCAATACAACAACTGACAGTTGAAAGAGGAACAAATCTAAATCTTCATATTTGAATTCCATTTTTAGTTCAACATTGTCAGAATTGTTTCTCATTCAATTATGATTTCAACTTTTTCATCCTTCAGCCAAATGCTGAATGGAAAGCTGAGAAAAGCAATCGTTTCCACTCACTGGATGACGCACGCATTCTGATGGGTGCAAGAAGAGAGGAACCAGAATTAAGAAAGAAGAGACGTCCCACAGTTGACCATAATGATTGGAATGTAGAAATTCCATCAAGTTTCGATTCAAGGAAGAAATGGCCTCGTTGTAAAAGTATAGCGACCATCCATGATCAATCACGATGTAGATCATCTTGGGTGAGTTATAATGATTGCATTAATTGAAAAATGTGTAAATTTTTGGCATGACTATGAATATTTCTACACATCAGTGATTTTGTAGGAGATCTCACCGAACGTCAGACAGTATCAGTGTCATATTATCTAGAGAAATTGTTTCTTTGAAAGCTGTATGACAGCACATCTGTGAACATATGTCAGGTGTCTAAAGTAATTAACGAAACAGGTCATGATGAAATCAAAAGGCTTCCAAATATTGACCACTCATTCTACGTAAATACGCTACAAAACTTAAAAATTCTTGATGTTGTCATCGCTTTTTTGCAGGCTTTCGCTGCTGTCGATGCCATGAGTGATCGAATCTGCATACAGTCACGTGGCAGACAACCTGTGGAACTAAGTGCTGTGGATCTAGTGAGCTGTTGCAGCGATTGCGGATTTGGGTGTGATGGTGGATTCCCTGGTCGTGCTTGGGATTATTGGATAGGGGAAGGTATTGTTACCGGAAGTTCGAAAGAGAATCACACAGGCTGTCAACCATATCCATTCCCGAAATGTGAGCATCATGCCAAAGGGAAGTATCCTGCATGTGGTGAAAAAATCTACAAAACTCCTCGTTGTAAACAGACATGTCAGAAAAGTTACAAAATCCCATATATCCAAGACAAGCATCGAGGTAGGTAATGTGAAAACGTTGACTTGTCACTCATATAGATCGATTTCAATATATTATCAAATAGCTTCTTACAAGTGATGCTTCTACATGTGTAATAATCATTTTTGAGATTACTTTTGAAAGCTCTCTATTAAATGATAACAGCTTCATTTTCACGATCGTTTTATTCATCTCTTAGGTACATTATCCTACAATGTTGCTGATAATGAATTGTCTATTCAAAAGGAAATCATGAAGTATGGACCAGTAGAAGCAAGTTTCACCGTTTATGAAGATTTTCTAAATTACAAATCTGGGATCTATGAACATATTACTGGGGAACCAGTTGGTGGACATGCCATACGTATAATTGGATGGGGTGTGGAAAAAGACACTCCTTATTGGTTGATCGCGAATTCGTGGAATGAAGATTGGGGTGAAAATGGATATTTCAGAATACTACGTGGTCACAATGAGTGTGACATAGAATCCTACGTAATAGCTGGTCGGATTAACTAATAACACAATCTTTAAACATTATCATAATATGTTACTTAGAGTTGATTAAGTCATCACAAATGTATACAGAATGCTTCTGAGAAACGTTCCACATTCATATTATCTTTTCATTCATTTTATGTCACAAATAAACGGTTGCGAACTATCACTAAACTCTTCACTAAATAAATGTCTTCGCTAGGCGGATTCTCGTTACAAGACGTTTATCCAGATTAGCAAAGCAATTAAAAGCTGAATTATTTTAGACGAACTACTAAACCGTTGTCTATGTGCATTCATTGAACGAGTCATTGTTCATTCCACTTACATGTTTATTGAATTCAACTCACACATTTCATGTCACAAGTTTTCATCAAATTTAGAAAACACCAACTTCAGGTATCGAATCTATTTTCAACCTGTAAAGTGGTACGTGTTCTCACTAGTTTAAATGGAAATTAATCATTTCCATCTACGAAAATTCCCCATACATTAATTTATTATTATTATTATTAATGGCTTTATTCAATATTATATTTTGGTACAATATAGAATTCTCAGCACAGGGTATTTCAACAAGTTACTTACTGAACAACGAACAAAAAGGCAGTAGCGAATACATAAAGAAATATATAAAATAAAAATTTTAAAAAAAAAACCCAAAAGAAACTACAAACTTTTAAAATTAAAGACATGTTAAGAATGTAAGTTATTGACTAAGTTAATTCTAACAACCTGTTCGTCACAGAGTATATTTGCTAGGTAAGGTATTATAGAACTTTTATACTTTTCCTTGCGTGCAAGGATTTTTATGTAATTACGTCTCGTTCTACCAGAAGATATACAAGGAGAAAGATAAGAGTGAAGGGGATGGCTAGTATCTGACAAAATAACACCTGCCAGGAGTTTGCATGATTTTAAATGTCTGTCCACAACCATATTAATTATGACCTCGAAAGATTCACCACACGTCTTACTAACTGCCTTTAGCACTCTTCGCAATACAGCAAAGTCTTTTCTCAAAAGCCCGGGAAAGAATAATGGAGAACATTAAAGAATAATAGGTAATATGCAAGAATTGACAAATTGTAAGACGACAAAAAGAGTAATTCCAAGAGCATGCAATCTCTTTATGTAGTAGGTCAGACGGAAAACCTTCTTCGATAACGATAAAACGTGGGAAGACCAAGACAGATCAGAGGAAAAGGTGACACCAAGATAATTGACCTTCGACACCGCGTTTATCAAAGAGTCTCCGATGGTACAAGCACTATGGGATCTCAAAATAGTGTTTATATTCCGTTCATGTCTCATACTAAAGTTAACAGCTTGACATTTAGATGGATTAAGTATGAGACCATTACCAACAGACCAACAATCAATACGAGACAAAAACTCATTCATTTCTATGGGATGTAAAGAGGAAGATATAGGCATACATACAGTGAGATCATCCGCGTACTTCACAAAAGTGTTTTCTGTGGAAGATGGCAGGTCATGCAGAAAAAAAGAGAATAGAAGAGGTGAAAGAACAGCTCCTTGTGGTACACCTTCCTGAGACAGTAGAGAATCTGAACTCTTTCCTCCAAACACAGTGTACTGTTCCCTTCCAGAGAGGTAGGAACACAGCCAGTTGGTTATCCAGCTGTCAGTGTTGACGCTGATTAACTTGTTAAGTAAACGTTGTCTTGGTATAGAATCAAAAGCTGAAGTATAGTCCAGAAAAGCACATCGAACATAGTTCTTACCCTTTTCTAAGTTGAACACTATGTTGTGATGCAGAACTGCAACAGCATCTAAAGTGCTTCTTTTGCGCCTGTATGCAAACTGGTATGGGTCAGTATGCTCTTTTATCGCAGGCTGAAGTAGAAGTATTAATAATTTTTCCATGGTTTTGAGGAAAGGTGAAGTTATTGCAATAGGTCTAAATTTTACATTCTTATCACCAGATGCTTTCTTGGGTACAGGAATTATCTTCATCTTTCTCCACATTTTTGGTATGAGATTAGATGAGAAAGATCTGTTAAAAATAGTTGTGAACGGATGACACAGAACGTCAGCACATTTTTTAAAAAGGAGGTTTGGGATACCATCAGGACCCAAACATCGAGATGAATTAAGCGACTGGAGACATCCTCGTACATCAGTTTCAGTGAACGTATGAACACAGCTATTTTTTAAACCCGTGGATAAAGGGAGCATCACATCAGATGACTGACGTACAAAAGACTTATTTAAGTCACAAACATTCAGCTGGTTATCGCTTCTAAACTTTCTGTCACCTGTAAGTTCTTTAAAGAATTTCCACATACTTGTAGAGTTTTTGCAAGATAAGAGTTTTTGAGTAAACATGCAGTTGAGACGTCTAATCTCTAGGTTTATCAGACCATTTAGCTTACGAACTTCATTTGAGTTCTTCTCCTTGTACATTCTTTCTTTAATCCTCCGTAGTCGTTTTAGTTGTGAAGATGTAAGCCGATCAAAACTTACAAAAATGGTTTCAGTGGGACAACAAATATCAAAACAGAATTTAAGGTAACAAGTGATAACATCAGTAGTGTTTTCGAGTGAGTCATCTGTAAATAATTCCCAGTTAGTCGTATGAAATATGTTTTTTAGATTTCGGATATTTTCTTCTGAGTAATTCCTATATTTGACTTTCTTGGTTTGATGTAAGAGTGTACTCTTCCCATGCTTTCCATATACTTTAGGTAGAACACGAATTAAACAGTGATCTGAGCTAGACAATGGAGCACGTTTACGAGTCGCATATATACCCACATCATTAATGAAAACGAAGTCTAAATGAGCATCCAAACGAGTAGGAAAATCTACTACGTTTTGGTGACCTAGTGACGTAAGGAAGCTACAGTCACATGAATTGAAATCACCGCATACAATTGAAAGTGAATCACTGAAGGCAGTAACAGCGAACTCAGTGAATTCATCAGCAAAAACAGATAGTGCAGATGATGTGCAATCTGGAGTGACATAGATATTGGTAACATAAACATATTTGTATTTATTCAGATGTTTTGGACGACATCTTAGAGTTAGACAGTCGATAAAGTCATTTGAAAACTTGAAACACGCAAACGAAGATCGACACCAGTTTATGTTTACAAACGTAGCTACACCGCCACCACACCTATTTTTATTGTTCGATCGATCCTGACGATAAATTTTGAAATCATGTAGTGATACAAGGCAGTCATCCTGTAAATCATTCAACCAAGATTCTTGAATTGTGATGACACCACAATTACGATACGTATTTTGACTAAGCAGGAATTGCAGATAGTCCACTTTGTTGATTAGTGATCGGCAGTTAGAATTAAGAAGCTCGGGAATCGACATACGATTAATGTTCATTCTCTTTAACGCATATTGCCAACCACCACGATGCCTTTTATAGTACTTTTTCTTAACTTGTGCAGCGAAAGGGCAAGGTAAAAACGGTAATCCCTTTCAAATCTGTCCGCCGTTTCGTTTCAACGACCTTGAACGCGCTGACTGAAAGCGGGCATTCCGTATTTCAATTGCCGTGTGTGTGTTGGGTCCTATGAGTATTAAATGTTTACATATAAAAGTCATATTTTGATGCATAATAAACACTAAATAACTGCTAAGAGCATTAACTGAGTATTTTCTGTTTTGTAGTGCACACTTTAGCTCTGTTGTTCCTTCGAAACTTGATCTGTGGTCCTGAGTGCTGTAGTGAAAGTCAACAGCTATCTATAATTTGTTGATAAGGTCCAGAAAACAACGTAAGAAAGATAAAATAACGTAAAAGGTTATAGGTGCGCCTAGTTTTTGTGAGTTAAGACGAAATGTCAACTGAAGGGTAAGTCCTAAATATTTGTTGTTCTTCCTTCAGTTAATTTTTTCAAGGAATAACCTTTTTTTAATAACTATTGTATGTTGTCTCTAGTGCTTCATGCTCAAGTGAAATTTCAGTGAACGTAAGCGACGCGTTCCAACGTATTATGCTGAACAAGAGATTCGGAAGCTGGATTGAATTAGATAATGCGCTAAAGGATTTCCATAAAGTATGATAGGATAAATCTATGTTTTCTCAGATGACCCATACACACTATGTTCACGCAGAAAGTAGATTGTCGAAGAATGTGAGATATAAATACTTGTTCGTAATGTTTCGTTGCACGTTTGGTCGTAAACGTAAATCAAAATGTCTGAATGTGAATAAAAAACCGTGAGGACTCTAACTAATGTGTTACATTTAAGGTCTAAATTTTTGAATTGCCAATCGATGTTCCGCGTAAGATTGGAGGGTCAACAATACGTTATAAAATCTTACAACATGTCTCACAACCATCCGTGTACTAGTTCGTGGATGGTTTGTGATCAGTTGAGTAGACGATTGTCATCAGAAGAAAAAGAAAACTTGAAACCAGTTATATTGCACTGTCAGTCGACGGACGAAGTTATCGAAAGTATTAAGGAAAGAACAGGTAAGCAGGTGACCGCTGCTGATGTGAAAAATATGAAAGCTGAACTCTCCACTGGTAAGTGTATATAAATATATTTCAGGTTGGACTCGGAAGCAGGTATTGCAGATGATGCGACAAAACGGTGGAGTTAGAGAGCATGCAGAAAATGGATGTATTACGGCGATATGCTTCAGCAGTTATGATCAGATACGGCTGTACAATCAATATCCCGAAGTCGTGTGTATTGATTCTACTTATAAAACTAATAATAAAAAGTGAATATGATTTTCGTTTTGTTCTACTATGTAGATATTCATTATTCCAGTTAGTGGTGACAGACAATTGGAGTCGAGGTCGAACTGTTATGTTTGCATGGACACAAAAAGAAAAGCGTGCCGATGTTACGTGGATTTTGGATAAATTCAAGGAGATAATGGGTAACACGACCAAAACAGAAACATTTGTGATGGATTGCGCACGATCTCAAAGCGCGGCTGTCCGTATAACGCACGGGCATGCAAACATTATTTTGTGCGCCTTTCATTACGAAGTGGATGTAAGTATTTGTGAATGCAATTGTAGCACGTTTAATATGTGTCGATATCCGTGCCGCCATCTCCTGCTGGCATATATTAAAAGACGAAATCTAACAGGTAAGCTATTTAAATTATAAAATATAAACTCCATAGCTCATCAACTTCTTAGGTGTTGCTGCAGATGGAAATTAGACAATACGCACAATTTACAAAACAACACAGGAATTTCATTACCGAGACGGAGTAAAGAATATATACAACTTCAACGGCTCCAAAGAATGTGCAAACAACAAATTGTTGAGAAATATGGTGAACGCTTCGCGAATCAGGTGGAGAGAAAAGTCTACAATTTTTACTTAAGAATTATAAACAGCTAGACAGCAGGTTTACGATTAACAGTTCTTTGTGGCTTTATTTTAGACCACTATTTATACAACTTGTAAACTTATCTTTCCACTTTAGTAGTCATGAAAAATCAATAAACTTTCTCTCATTTTTTATTTTCGTCTTCTTCATACTTTCATGGGGAGGTGTACCAATCGCTTTAACGAATAATTGTGTGTGAAAATTAAGAATTTGTACTACTGTATTAGTTACGAACTGTCGTTAGAACTTAGCGTTATATCGTTGTTCATTGTGAGGAATCAACGAGTCAAATAAAACAATAATGCGACTTCCACGTAAAACCTTACAGATTAAACAACCGCCTTACATATTTTCCGTTGTCAGATTACGTCCATTATCAAGTTAGTATTAGTATGGAACTAGACAATTTCATGCAGCTAGTTCCTTGATAAGATGGATTACGTAATCCTTAGACCACCCTTCCACTCACACTTCTTTGCTAAATTATGTTAACTCTTCAGATTGTCTTCACTTATCTTATTAGTTCTTAATTCACTGATTTATTCATTACATCTAGAATTATCACACAATTTATCTTATATGCTTCTGAGCTTCACTCGACTATTACACCACCCATCTTTTATGTTCCCTTAAGTCTAACACCAAATGACCTTTGACCTGTTCAAGCATATACATATGTATAGTTATTATTGATAACCTAGGTCATTCCAATTCTTTGCTTTCTATTATCTTTCATACTATTTCTTCCCTCAGTCTTAAATTATAATGCATATTCAGTTGTATGCAACTTATGAGAAACCACGAAATGTAATGCAGTCACATGATTCTGCGTCAATATTTGTTTTGGCTTTATTTAGACCATAATTATACAAACTTACAGGATTTATAATATAAAACACTGCGTATGGTTGTTATATTTATATTTAAATAATTCATTAGATGAATGAGCATAGCAGTAGGCAATATAAAACAGTTATCGTAAACTTGTAAACCGGTTTTCCACACGATCTTCCGTAATCCTAAATTCCATAAGCTTCATACTATTCTGAAAAACAACAAATCCGTTTTGAGACAAACAATTAAACTTTGTTCTCAGTATCATATTCAATAAGTTATTCAAATAGCAAGTAACAGACTGTGCCTATAAGTCTTTTATTAACAAGTAGTGACATTCATTCATAACTTCCTAAGTAACACAACAACTGTATTACCGAGACGGAGTGAAGAGTATATAATAACTCATTTGTGAACCCTATAACAGACACGTCACAAATCAGTATTAACTAAAAAGCATGGTTGTGTCACCATTCTCACAAGAAACACCGATCGTTTTATTCATGAAGATTTTGTTCCTACTTGATGTGGTGTTATACACTATTACTGCAGACGTTCAGAAAGCCGCTGGACAACACTATAAACGTCAATTGTTACTCACATATTTCTTTTCTCAGATACGTTACATAATTATGTCACTTCAGTACAAAACAATGGTACCTCTAATAAATATAACTTTTTATGGCTAAATACAAACAAGTTATATAATATTCACAATTAGGTTAACGCTTGATTGCTTCTACTTACATTTTATAAACAACTACCGACATCCATGTTCACCGTCACCGCAATCAAGGAGGTGAACCATATGTAAAAGATTTTACGGTTCATTTTTATGAAAACTCAATCTGTGGTGTATTTTTTGACTAGAAACACGGTGAACTTTACTTGCTTGAGTTTGTATTGTTACAACTAACTATATTAAGCTAACTTCAGATTTACTTACGTGGTGAGCAAGAAATACGTCAAACTGCCAATAAATTGGAATAAAAACTATGTTACAAGCACTAGCAATACAGAAATTGATGTGTCATGCAAGAAAGCCTGTTAATAGCTGATAAATAACGACACAAAAAATCCACGACAATATGTAACGTGTGCGCGAAAATCCGTGGCTTACCCGCCAGTCCGTGCCCAGCGAAAGGTCGTAGGCTTTTCATAAAAGCGCCTGAATAGGTTATGCGATTAATGGACATAATTATAAATTAAAACAAATAAAAACTGATAACTTGTTGAAATAATCAGATGGCAGAAACAGGTAGCCCAGGTATTCAAGCATAAGATTAGTAATGATGAAATATTGAGAAATTGTGTAAATAGAAGTACAACTGTACTGAACGATAACATCAGTTGGGACTGCTGAATGTAACTGAATACAAAATCACAGAATCACATAGTAAAATCTGAGAACCATACAGTAAATAGTTCATTTGCAAAATGTCAATCCAATTGTCTCAAACTTCATTGTTCCTTCGATTCCCACCAATCATTCTCTAATCTCGTTCTCTTTTCTTCTATCGTCTTAACATTACTTTTGGTACCCAAGAATGGCAGCTGCTCAGACTTATTAATTGGGAAACGAAGAGTACAGAATACTGACATACGATTCCGGCTGTTTATTCCATAAAGATCATTATAAACAGAGTAGTGACGTCAAAAGATACCATGAATATATCGGGAAAATTTAAGTTGTCAAGCCTCTGTAAAAATTCGAAACTAGCGTTCAGACTGTAGGTAGCTAACTTCTTGCAGACTGGTCCTGAACACCAGCAGATGATTTTGTGTAAAACTGATCTAGTCATAGATAATAATGACTCGGCTAGGATGTTAGGTTTCTATATTGTTATTATTATTCTACCAGTGTGTTCTGTTATGAGATCTTATCCAAACCAATTCTTACTTTGTGTACTTCAAAACAATCTCCTCATCACCGACCTTTTCCAGTCACTTAATTCACAGAACTTAAGTAAACCCTTCAAATCCTGTCTAGTTAATAGGCAACCCATCTGAATAATTTCTACTGCTAAACAATTACAAACTCATAAATATCTCATCAGATGGTTTGAATCTTACGTAAACTCTTTACGACTTCTTTAATTATCACATTATTCATCTTATATATTTCCAAACACCGCCTTACCCACCTGCCTGTTTTTAATTCTATCTTCAAATGACCTCATAATTGTTCTTGCATAGATAAATCCATATAGTTATTATCGATAATGTAAGTTCTCGTAATATTTTTCCGTTATCAGTGTAAATTATTTCACATCATATCATACCTCGATATTACACTGTATACATATTAGTGTTGGTAAGCAGCCAATATTATTCATTATTATCATTTGAACACATACATATTGGTAAAAAGACGCACGAAATGCATATGCCGGTGTGATACTGCCCGAGTGCTCTGACCGAAGCACGTGGTTTTCTTAGAGGGCCACACTCGGAGTCTTCGACCTTAAGGTTTATTCATCAAGCAAGTGAAGCAACATTGGGAGATGCAGTTCCATAGTAACTAGTGACCAACGACTGATTCATGCGCTTTTGGTTCCTTCAGGATCCTGGAATCAGCCCATGTGCACCATTGGTTTGGAATCAGGGTTTTCCAACCCTCCTAAATGGAATCGAAGTATTCACTAACTTAATTAAAGCGACAGACATTCGCTTTATCTCTTCTAAATTTCGAAAACAACATCCCTAACACGAGAAGGCAGTGTGTAAGACTTCCCTGGCAGTGGTTTTATGGACGTGAAATCTTGAGAGCATTTCGAGAAGAATAGCTGATTCCCCCTAGTCGCGGCCGTACCCGGTCACTAAGGGGCATTTAAGAGTTAAATAAGCATGCGAGTATGCAACCGTGAACTTGCTGATTAAAGTTTATGAATTATTACTTGTTCACGGTGAACACTAGTATCTTATCCTTCATTATCGTGTTACGTTCTAATATTCTTTTTTACGAAACATTTTTATGTGATCAAGTTTATCTCAAAATAAAATTGTATACTAGTACTACGATGTTTATAATGGAATGAAACGTCCAATAACTGATATTTTCTCTCTTTTCCAAGTACATCACAATTCTAGAAAACATCTAAATTGATTGATAAATTTCTTTTCAAATGAGTACTGTGAAAACAGTTGATATTACTTTGTAACTATTGTCTGTGTCACGATGAAATGCCTTCAGTCAGTCAGTCAGCTACAACGTAGGACCAGGCACATATATGCATCGGTCCAAGTTGCCATACCGCATTATCACAGTAAAATGAACACTGGATTCATAGACGTTTACTTCAATGTGGGTAATATATAGAAGAAAGATTGCATATAAAAGTGTATTACAGGAA